CATATTCTCATCGAACTAGAAGAATGCAAGCAAAGCCCACACGATAATCTCAACCAATTCGCATTCCGCATAGAAACCTGTCTTTCACAACTATTAACAGAAATATCCTTATGTAATACTAAATCCAAAGAATTACCAGGTCGGGTTACGGCCATGGAGGACCTTGCCCTCCATCATTTCCTTAAGTTGTTAGACCCCCGCATTACAAACATCGTTGGGTGTAGGTCTCCAAAGATCCTTAATGAAGCCATAAAGTTAGCCATTTCAGAAGAACGTATTCAACAAAGATTATACAAACTACTACAGCCAGAAACAAAATATAAACACAAACCTAGGCAAAACTTCGTTCGTTCGACAAAAGCTCTTAATTCTAAGCCGTTTACTTTTCAAAAATTTTCACAGTACCGAAATTCTAATCAACAGAGCTCCACTAACGCTTTTCGCCGATATTGTAAGACAGCGGGGCACGATATCATGCCCTGTAAAAAACGAGCATATTCCAGTAACCGATTCAGGAATCAAAATATCCTACCAACCTCCCAATTCCAGTATAGGCCACAACCACGGATTAATTTCATAGAACAGCCAACATGAGGAAGACCGAGAGGAACTCCACCTTTCACATAGCGACAATCAAACTTTAAACAATCAAGTGTCTCGTCACGGTGTCACCCGACACTAAACCCTGAAGCCGACACCAACCGTACCTTCCTCATATCCAAGTACCACACCGGTAACCAGCCCCAAACAAGTATCCGACAACCCAATGACCACACGGGTAACCAGCACCAAACAAGTGTCCAACAATCCAAGGACTACTCAGGTAACCAGCCCCAACAAGTATCCGACAATCCAAAGACCACACGGGTAATCAGCCCCAAGCAAGCGTCCAGCCATCAAAGACCCATAACTTGAAATTTCCCTCTTTAACAAGTAATATTGAAATTTACGAGATAAATCTAGATACTACTAAAAGGTTGTTACCACATGTCCTGCTCGATTCATCCGTCACGAATACCCCATTGTCTTTGCTTGTCTATTCAAGATCTGCCGTATGTTTACTAAAATAGTCTAGTATCCAGAGAAATCTCAAACTAATAAAAGAACCTATCAAACTTAAGGGCATAGACCCAGGCGATGAATCTACAATCACCAAGGGCCATTTTCCGTTGAAATGAAATAAAAATATCAACTTGCCATATGACGGTATCATAGGCTCCGCCTTCCTAACCGCTTTTGGCTGTAGAATTGACTACACAAACGAAACCCTCAAGATCGGTAAATTTGAAATAAAAATACATTTCGTTGATCCATTCTATATCATTTCACCACGCACCGAAACTGTACTTGAATGTTTAGTTTGCGATACAAACCTTAAAGAAGGCCTTATACAGTGATAAGGCCTTTTTGAACACACATCAGATAATTTACTTATATCCAATTGTATCGTAAAAATCAAAGTAAATAAACGCATTAATTATAGCCAATATTAACGCATTAATTATAGCCAATATAATATTCTCTTAGATATATCTATTTGAAATTCTTTCTTTATGTACAAAAAAATACTTTAAAAACGATGTAAAATACGAATTCCTGGACTATCGCGAAGATGTAATAAAACAAATGATAAACTTAGAAAGTGGTTGTTCTGGTAGAAACATTATAAGAACTGGTAGTGTATATTCCAGTCGACGAACTGCAGTTAGAGCTCCAAAAAAGGTACTTCAACAGGAAAATTTGGTAAGCATTAGTCATTATCACTGGCCTGAAGATATTCCGTGCTCAACAGATTCCAAGAGGAATTTTAAATATTTGAACTGTAGCCTCTGCACTAAAAAGAAAAAACGCAAAGGACAAGATACAGGTGCAAGGGATTCGGAGAAAAACCTCCCTTATGTTTCATCGTTTTTAAACCTCCCTACATGTTTTGAGGAATAGCACGCCAAATACGTCAAGAGGGGAGATACATAAAATTAAGCTATTATTCTAAGATAAAATTTAATTTTGAAAAGATTCTAAGTAAAATGTTGATTTATACACATATTTTTTTTAATTTTTAGAGATATTTTTTTTTTGTATTTAAAATATTAAAATGTGATTGATTATAATAGATACTTCTGTTTTAATATAATTAATAGAATCAGGCGTTACTTTGCGGAAATCCATTATGTAAAAGCTTTTAGAAAAATTTACTTCGCAAATATCCGCGTTATAAAATAAAATGATGTGTCTTACCAACACGTGTCGTATTATCGTCAGTGGTGTGTCTTGCCTAGTGTAGTGGTGTTGGGAGTGGCGGTGCTGGGATTAGTGGTGACGGGGATAGTGCACACAATTGAGGGAGGGCGGGAGGTGCTCTTCATACTAGGTAAGACACATCATTTTATTTTATAACGCGGATTTCAATTCGACTGTATGTGTTTTTATGTCGTAACTTTTTTCACCGATGTTTATGAATGATTTGGTGCTTCTCATCTACTCCCATATAAATTTGATCAAGGTCTGTGTAGAGACACAATATAGGTATATATAATACACTGGCTCTTTAGATCGCGTGTCCAGTGTCCTACATCATATCCATACTTATTTAAGTATAACAGCTATGTGTATGTGTAATATGTATAATAGTTATAGGTGTGGCGGCTGCGTCCGCCACGTTAGAAAGAGTCGCAAATATATCTCCGTTTACACGACACGTGTCTTCATTTATAGCAACCTTAATTGTACACCTTAGTGAACTTAGCAAGGAATAAATGTATTAATTAATTAAACCAATACAGTATTCATAAGACTGTACACTGGTGACCCCGACGTGATTCCTAGTAGTTTAGATAATTGTAAATATGTATTTGTTCGGAATTATGTGATGAGAAAATCTCTTCAACCACCTTATGATGGGCCCTATAGCGTCATAAGCAGGAGAGGGAAAACTTTTGTCATAAAAATAGGAGTAAAGAAAGTACTATTTCTATGGATAGGTTAAAGCCCGCGCACATTCTGAACGAAAACGATTTAAGCAATAACATTAATTTTCGTGATGATAGTAGTAACGATAGCTTTATTAGCATAAAGAACGCAGACGCTTCTAGCAAAGTTTTAATTCCAAAAACAACGCGATGTGGCCGCGTTATCAAGACGCCAGTACGTTTTGCATTGTAAGCTATTCTGTTCTAGGTAGAACGTGTCATCGTTACTTAGGATTAGTGGTTATGATTACGATTGTTTTAGGTTCGATTTCTGACCTACATCATTAATAAGTGTAACAACCTGTCAGTTTAATTTACTCAATTGTTTCTTTTATTAGTTGTTATGATTTAGGTAATATCTAGGTAATCCAATACAGTAATTAGAAAAATTCCAATTATATTTTTTAAGCTTTATTGTAGAACTCTAAAGAGTAAACTATATATGTACTTACTATAATTAGCTGTAATAATATTTAGCAAACATTTATACTTTAATGTGCACCTATCCTTATGCTACATAGTTGCGAGTTGCATAGCATGCATTTTGCAATAGATCAAAGTACGTAATTGCTAAGGAAACTTTTTAGTATTTTAGCATTTTAATTGTCATGTCATTGTTAATCATTATTAATGTAACATATAGAGACGATTTTTCGTATCTATATTCGTTCAAATTGCTTCATTGTAGCTAGACGTATATATCTAGAATTGCTCAAAAATGGGATGGAGTCAGAGCAAGGAGGAAAATACGAGCAACAGCCTAGTAGCTCAGACTGTCAACAATCATTCAGATTATAAGCTGGAATGTATCAGCTGGACGTTGACCGCACTGGTGATAGTGTTCGTCCTCGTAGTGGGGTACCTACTATGGCGCCGTTGCATACATGTAGTGAAAGGCTGGGTAATGAAGCAGAGCGTAAGCAATCCAACCATGGTGCGGGTGCAGGCGGTTCCCAACCAAGCCGCACCTACGCCTGCCGGTTTCGCGTAGTGTGTATACAAGTGCGAGTGTTAAACTAGTGTAAGTTAAGTGTTCTAAATCTTTGTGAAGGAGGGGAATGGTGTAGGGACACAATATAGATATATATATATATATATATATATATATATATATAATATACTGGCTCTTAAGGCCCATAGCACACGGCGTATTTAAAACGCGCAGGAGACGCGCGTTTCAGGAACGCGCGTCTTCGGCGCCGTAGACGCTGATTGTTGCGTTTGCATTGATGATACAAGCGCGCGTACAAAGGAGCGGAGTAGGGGCAGGGGGGGGGGCGCTCACGCCACCACGGCACCGCCCGCGCCTCAGTTGCAATAATAGTTTATTGTGTGCTGCGCGTGTATTTGGTTTAAAATGGAACCCTTCGACACCGACCGCTTCATAACAGAAATAAACAATCGTCCCACTACATGGAATTCACTACTGCCCGAATATTCAAACAAAGTGTTAAAAAGAAATGCTTGGGATGAATTGTGCCAAATTTTTTATAACAATTTCAATGAAAAACCCAGTAAGGAAAAAAACCTGGCAGGTAAGATTTATTATATTTATTTAAAAATAATGTATTTGTTTTAGGACTACACATAAAACATCGCCGTAAAGATAGCCAATCCATGTCGCGTGCCCACGTTTTATGGTGTTAAATCGTTAGTTGTGATAAGTTCTGGCGTAATTTTCGTTTGTTCCGCTTTCCTTCTTACGATTTTTTTACTTATTGGAACTAACGATTTAGCACCCTAAAACGTGGGCACGCGACATGGGGTGGCTATCTTCACGGCGCACGTTGGGCCGAATCTGAAAAAAAGGAACTTATGAATTAAAAATTTGTCATCATATCTCATTAAATATTCGTTTTTATAAAAAATTACAATTCATAAATGTTGATTGTATTGACGGCTTCTGTCGATTGGCTGAAAAAAAATTGACGTTTCGAAAAAAAAATCGTAAGTTCCTTTTTTCAGATTCGGCCCACCGTGCGGCGGTACATAGAACAGTAAAACAGTATAACATGTAATTAGGTAGGCACCCTAAATTTTTGAATCTTGCCATGGTACTGCACCTTCATCGCTAATAAAATAATCAGTGTACATATTTCGTATCGTAGTTCCGCTTAATTGTCCCTGTGACCGTCTTGCACCAATCAAAATCAAACTTGCATCTTCAGGAGGATCTCCTAAACCAGCTATACTCAAAGAATTATGAAAATTATAACCGTCACGTTCACGTATAAAATTATGCAGTACACAACAGGCTTTCACAATAGCCACACTGAAGTCCACGCTAACGTTCAGTGGTCGATTAAAGATTTTAAATTTGTTGCTTAATATACCAAATGTACATTCAGTGTATCGTCTGGCACGTGTCAAGCGGTAATTATATATTCTTTTTTCTCGTGGCAAGTTTTTTCCAGCGTAAGGTCTCTGTAAATGTTGAGATAATGCAAAACCTTCATCTCCAACAAACGTAAATGGTATTGGCACTCCATTATTAGATATTGGTCTCGCATTTGGTATATTATAATTTCCTTGCCTTATCTTTTTGGTCCATTCACTACATTCATTTATTGTTGAGTCTGCCGCCTTTCCATAGCATCCAACATCTATATCGATGAATCTGTAATTTGCGTCACATATTGCAAGCAATACGATGGAAAAATATTTTTTATAATTGAAATACTCTGATCCACTATGTTGAGGTTTTATAACTCTAATATGTTTCCCATCGATAGCCCCAAGTAGGTTGGGAAAATTTGCGTATTTCATAAATCCTTCAGCAGTTTTTAGATGTGATTCTTCGGTTGGTTCTGGCATGCAGATGTTTTTTAATTTATCCCATATTATTTTCACTGTTTCACGGACTATAATGACTGCCGTCGTTTGTCCACACTTAAAGTCATAGTGAATATCTGAGAAATAGCAACCCGTAGCTAAATACCTGAAAAAAATAACATTATTAAAACTTCTATTGTCATCGTAAATTTTACATATTTAATTAAAATTAACCTACATCTACTTATTTCAAATAAATTAAAATTAACCTAATAAATAACTAAACTATTGACATTATTATTGTTTTCAGTCATTGATCTTCAAAAAAAATGGAAGAGTATTAAGGACGCTTATAAAAGAGACAAAGCGAAGAACAATAACTGTTCCAGTGGATCTGGAGCTAAGCCTAGAAGACCCTACATATATTCCAATTTGCTAACTTTTTTAGACCCGCTTTACGAAATAAGATCTCCAAGTCAAAATGATGATGCAGCACAGTCTTTGTCATGCCCCAGCATGACAAAGACTGTGATTTTCAAAAGCCACATTCACCAAAGAAGTCTAAAAAGACTCCAAAACATGAAGACCCACAGGACAAATTGTATGAAGCACTGACAGCAAATCTCAAACAGTCTAAAGCGAATAATACAATTTTATCTGAAAATCCCGACATACTGTTCTTAGTTTCATTAGCTAAAGATTTTTCGGCCATCAAAGAGGAATTTAAGTTAGAGGCCAAAGCTGATATGATAAATTTAATTCGTAAATATAAAAATATGGGACAGTCATCGAGAACATTACATGAAAATAGATACCAAGGTGCATTTCAATATGAACATCAGTATGGATACCAGTCTGGATATCAGTCTGAATTTCAGCCTCAATATCCAAGTAATCAATCAGCGCCAAGAAACGAATCTGTCAGTTCACAATCTGTCAGTTCACTCCAAAATTTGGATAGCAATGAATCGGTTACAAATGACTCCGATATCATATCTGACATGTATGATGATATTGAATAAATATTTTTCTCTTATTAATAATCTAAGTGCACTTATAACATTTTACGATTGATTTAAAACTGTAACAGGTCAATAAATAAATAAATACATAATAAATAAATAAATAAATACTAGTTGTTTTCTTACCTCAATGTGATGAGCAAACGTTCTTCTGCCGATATACATGATCTCATTACTGTATTTTGACGAGTTAACTCCGGTTTTAGGATCAAAAGAAGTTCTTGGAATGACGAATATGACATTCGATAACACGTATAAAATTTCTTCCATCTTCTATGTATTACCAATTTTTTAAACGTTGTATGATAATGACCACTCAATCTTTTTTCACTCGTAAATGGGTCTATCCAATAGATTCGCTTTTTTTTACATTTTTTTCTTTTTAAAAGAAGTACTAAAGCCAACGTAAGCAGTGTTGTCTCAACCGACGCCATTGTACAACTGAAGGAGTCACTGATCTGAAAAACGCAAAATCTACGAGCGACTACAGCGCGTCTGTATCGCTGTATCTGCACGTATACGCGCAGTAGAGGCGCGTTTCACGATCGCCCCGTGTGCTTACAGTTACAAGGTTGCGATCGAATCCCGTTTGAATCGCGTATACGCGCGTAATCTGCGCGTCATCTGCGCGTTTTAAATACGCCGTGTGCTATGGGCATTCATCCATTGACGAAACTCTTATTCCAAAAAGAACATATTCGCAAACTACATGCTGGTCCACAATTATTGCTAGCAACAATTAGAGAAATCGTATGGCCAGTAGCTGGTAGGAACTTAGCTAGGCGAACGGTCAACAATTGTATACGATGCAGACGTCTAAATGCTAATACTCTTTCCTCCTATCCTTCTAAAATGGGGGACCTCCCAGTTCAAAGAATAAGCGCAGGGTTTCCTTTTATGTCTGTTGGTCTGGACTTTGCCGGTTCGTTTTATATTTTAAATTGCAAAGGTCGTGGAAGTCAGCTAATCTAATCTAATCTAATCCACAAATATACCAGGTGAGTATTTTTTTGGAATAAATATTGGGTGTTTATAATGTTGTGATATATTAGGTGATTGTAACCTGCCACTAACACGTAACAAACCTTAAATAAGTCATTTTTGTAACCTGTGAATCACAAAAAACTATTTGATTTGATTTTTAAACTAACGTGTTGAACATTTAGCTTTTATATGATTATATTTATAAGTATAGTTACGGTGTGTATTGCTGTAAAAAAAGAAAATGAAAGCGGGCTTTGACAAAAGACAGATAATCTGCCAAAAGTGGATTTTTTTATGGTTCGCAGTATTTTTCAGAAAATTATGATTTTTTAACATCAGAAATGCGTGGAATAAAGCTTCAAACGTTACTAATAAAAGATTACGAAAAGTATACAGCTTTACCATTAGTTATGAGTAACTAGGCAGTGATACATAGATAGGTATTGACTGACCGTGTAACACGAAAATTTTCGTGTACATTATTTTAGCATATTTACGTTATTACATGCGATGAACAGACTTCAGAGCGCCATCTAACGTCATTAGTCCGAAGTAACTAGAAACGTATATTGACAAATCGAGCTAGCTAATTGCATGCAATTGACCTTCCGTGTTAGTTCGAAATCCTACCACGGATCGACGGTGGCGTGTAGCCCAAGGGAGGCCTAGTTCTTTTTGGAGCGAGCCGTTGTAATGATCGGACACGCACATATATAATTTTTGAATCGAAACGCCGGAACATGAATTTAAAGTGACGACTACTTGGGCGTACGGCCCCTTAAACACAATGTCTACGGGCAGTTTAATGTGTTGAAACACATCATCCCATAAATTGTTAGTACTTAATGTTTTTGTCTTCTTAAAAGCACATGTGCTCTAATTAACGGTACACGGTGTTTCATAGATTCTTTTGCCTTGTCATAGGGGTCCTTAGTCCTTAGTCCTTAGTCCGTACTTTGAGTATGGTCCATTATCAAGTTCAACAATGTGAACGAGGCGGGGCAGCTTCAACGGGTGGCTATATTGGGACTGGGCGGCCAGGAGACCGCGACCGGCGTACACCTGGAGGATATCTGTTGCCTCACTGCTTCGCGGGATTGACCATAAACAGCGTAATATTGTGTAATCCACCAGGTTAGTCAAAACCTCAGTTCGTAGGGTATTTTAAAGTGAAAACTGGATATTTGGAGCTATATATGTGAACCGTAGAAGGAAATAAACTACTTTTTGTCTGTATATGTAACTTATCATTTTCATTTACTAATCATCCAACAACAGGCGCCCTGGGATACTTTTATTTTGATCCTCGAGTCCCTTAACTCTCCGACAACCGTAGCCGGTGAGTAACGCCCTAAAAAGTGTTATAAAGTGGCTACCCAACGTTGAACCTTAAGTTGCTGGATGTTAGTAGATGAATTAACCTTAATTGTAACTATTTAAGCTGTTAAAAACCCATTTAATATGAAAACTTAGTGAAATTTAATGTTAACATTTTTTTTTCTGATGTAGGTAGATTTAAGTAAGCTTGAGAACAAAGAAAGTTTAACTTGAATGTGATTTATATGTACTTAAATGAATTAAAACTTAACATAATAAAAATATTTGTGCTATTTTAAGTAGATATTTTTAATATCAACCGATTTAAGACTTTCTTGTAACCGTCAGTACATTTTAACAAAATGTCGATCCACAAGTATATAGACTCATTACATAAAGATGAAATCAGATATGAACTCGCCATTATTGGTATTTCCACAGATGAAAATGTAACCACCGATGCAGTGAGGAAGCAGATCCGCCAGGTGTACAAACTCGCACGCCGTGGAAGCATAAAGTGTGAACCACTCCAGTCACCCAATATAGCATCTGAACTAGAGATCTGCACCCCAAAGGTCGAACTTCTGGAATCCCAGCTGCAGGCGGGTAAAGTAGATGATCATCGTGCAAATTATTTGATGGATAGACTAGCTCGTATCTCTGAAAGTAGTTCGCATTTGTCAGATCTCCGTAGTCGTTTGATTCGCATTTTGAGTGTCATAGACGGTGAAGATAGCGACACGGATAGTGAGTACAAGGAAACCCAGGCACAGCCGTCTAACCAGAAAGTGGAAAGTAGCGTGATCTATGTGAAAGATAAACCCTTGAACCTAAATACATTTAACTTAAAATTTGACGGAACCACGTGTGTTCGTGTATTTATTGAACGTCTTGAGGAACTTAAAGAGGCTCGCAACATTACTGAAGCTCGCATACTTTCAGCTTTTTCTGATCTTTTAGAAAACTCTGCTTTATGTTGGTTTAGAAGTAATAAGGATAATATCCACTCATATTCACAATTATTGAAATGCTTAAGGGACGATTTTGATATTCCCGATTTAGACTATAAACTATTAAATGAAATAAGGCAGCGTACACAGGCCAGACACGAAACGACAGTAGTCTATCTTTCCATTATGCAGGGAATGTTCTCGCGACTCACTCAGCCGTTGTCGAGTAGACAACAACTCAAAATCTTGATGCATAACATTAGACCACAGTACATGAAAGATTTAGCTTTACATGATATAACCTCTGTAGACAAACTTAAACTTTATTGCAAACAGTTAGAAATTGCGCGGTCGCGTGCGGAACAATTTAGTGAACCTAACTTAAATAACTTTAAAATTACAGCGGACTTAAATAAACAAACGCCGCGATCTCACAGTAAACAAGTCTCTGTGCTGAATGAAGCTGGCTCTTCGAAGCAATTGGATAGGAAATGCTTTAGGTGTGGATTAAACACTCATTTCACCAATCAATGCAATTCGAAAGAGTTAGTGTGTTTTAAGTGTGGATTAAAAGGTGTTAAGCATTCAGATTGTAGTAATTGCAATTCAAAAAACTAGTTAACACGGAACTATCCAACACCTTTAATAAAAATAGGTCTTATACGTACAATAATGAAGAGGTAGTTCTGTTTAAAAAAAAATACTAGGGATATAAGACCATACTTAAAATTAAAAATATTGAACTTACAAGCTTTTGGCTTATTAGATGCGGGTGCAACTTGTAGCATTCTTGGAAATAATGCGCATTTGATTTTTTTAGAACACGGATTTCAACTCAACTGGTTTGACACTGAGCACTACGTGAGAACTGCTGATGGTACGAGATTGCATTGCTTAGGGTATATGTCCTTACCTATTGAATTTAACAATAATTTCAGAGTGATTAACTTTTATGTTGTTGCACAATTAACTTCACCTATAATTCTAGGTGTTGATTTTTGGCAGGTGTTTGACTTAGGGAGTGACCTTGTATCCGAAGTACAGTTTGACCGAAAGTCGGAGTCATCAATATGTAATAGCATAAATTCGGTTTCTCTTAATAAAGGCCTTGAAGAATACGAGTCTTTATCCATAGAACAAAAACAAATCATGGATAAGTTAGTCCAACAGTTTGATACAATTAACACAGTTAAAGTAGGTTTGGGACGTACCAATTTAATTCATCACGTCATAGACACAGGGGATAGCAAACCTATTAAGCAAAGGTACTATCCATTATCACCTGTTAAGCAACTAGCACTTGAAAAAGAATTGGATAGAATGCTTAGTTTGGGAGTTGTGTCACCTTCACAGTCAGCTTGGAACTCACCTATAGTAATGGTTCAGAAGCCAAACGGGGACCTAAGGCTTTGTCTAGATTGTAGAAAATTAAATGCAGTTTCCAAACCCGATGCGTATCCTCTCCCGTATATAAGCAGCATATTGGACCAGCTCCGCGACGCGAAATACCTAACGTCAATAGATCTTTTCGCTGCGTATTGGCAAATACCCTATGATAGCGAGCAATCAGCTGATAAGACCGCGTTCACAGTGCCACGTAGGGGGTTATTTAGATTCAATGTAATGTCGTTTGGCCTTGTTTCCGCGTCAAGCACAATGCAGAGATTAATGAATAGGCTATTTGGTCCCGAATTTAACAACAAAGTATTCTGTTTCCAAGACGACATAATCATAATATCCAGCACTTTCTCAGAACATGTGCAGCTCTTGCATAAGGTCTACGCTAAACTCAGGGACGCAAACTTGACTATAAACATGGATAAGTCTATCTTTTGCCGTAGAGAACTTAAGTACTTGGGATATTTAGTTGACAAACATGGACTTAGAACTGATCCGGGAAAGGTAGATATTATATTGAATTATCCAACTCCAACTTCCGCTAAAGAGGTTAAAAGGTTTCTAGGCATGGCAGGCTGGTACAGGAGGTTCATTAACAATTTTTCGAAAATTAGTAAACCGTTGAATAAGCTAACTAGCAAAAATGTCCGCTTTGAATGGACTACGGAGGCAGATGAGTCATTTAACCACTTAAAAACCGCTTTAGTGTCTGCTCCGATACTTAAATGTCCAAACTTTGATTTGCCTTTTTCTATCCATTGCGACGCTTCCTCAGTGACTGTGGG